ACTTGGTTAGAAAATATTAGGAATGACCTTTCTGTATTATATTTAAACGAGAATTTCACTTTTAATAGGACACAATGGAGAAAAAAGGATTCATGTAGTCGACCCCACGTAGTGGGATAAAGGCTTGATGTTGTTGTTGGTTTTCTAAAATTGCCGAAATCAAAATTCAACCAAAGTTTTTCCTAAATTTCTGCAAGCACTTCCTAACATATTATCTCCTTGAGAAGATTTTGAATAATCAACTTTTTGGTATAATTCGATAACATGTCCAGAATAAATAAGATTAATTAAATATTCTCCAACTAATGAAAACTCAACTATGAATCTTTGTGCAATCTCTATGTTGGATTGTGTCGATATGTTATTCTGTAAAGGTTAATTGGGGCTTCATTTTGTTGGTTATTGATTATACTGTGAAGTCGATCTTACGAGAGTTTGTTCTTGATGAAGTCTTTATGGTTCGACTTGCTGAAGCTCATGAGTTCCCGATCTCACTAAAGGAGGTCAAGATATTAGACTTGTACTCGGTTCTGGCTTAAGTGATACTGAATTCCTTTGTAATTGTAATTTGTTTTGTTATGTTCCTGCTAGAGAGAAGGGTAGTTGGAGCTTAGATCTTTTCAGTTTGTTGTTTACAAAAACAGCCTTTAAATAAGGTATTTACTTTTTTTCTTTTAAGTAAATAAAATGTTAGGCTTAGTACATAAAATTAACGATTGAAAGAAGAAATATTTCTTCACGAAGTCAGCCAATCGATGACTGATTAGCCAGAGATCAAGTTTAATTCATAAATGTAAGTTTAAGGCCCCACAATTGTCTGAACAGGATGTTGAGTTTTCGTGAATATGCAAAATCATTTGTTGTATTGTGTATAAAACACTTCAAAGAGTTCTAACGATGTGATTCACGACAGTCTTAAAAAAAGCAAGTTGTTATTTGGATTTGTTTATCAATTTTACTTTGTCATTTATCTTTTTTTATATGCAGTTTTTCAAATTCTCTGGGAATGCCCTATGTTGCGAACTTGAATGAATTGGCGAAGGAATGCATGAATGGCTTTCTCAATGGCATGCTTGATGAGATAGCCAACCTGCCACTTAAGAAAAAAAGGCAAGTTGTTTTGAGTGATGAAGAAGTTGAGAAGGTTGGCCTGATTTTGTGGCAATATATCTGTGAAGAAGTTTTTGTAAAACCCGAAATTCGTCAATTGAGTGCGTCGCACGCATATCAATGCGCCGCGACGAACTTAAGTGAAATTTCGATATCGTCGGAAATTGACAAAATAAATTTCATTAGTTTCGTCTCGAAATTTCGAGCAAAACGGTATAAAGAACTTATATTAAATTTCGCTCGGATTTGGAGTTAAAATTTGCCGAAGTTCGTTTAAGTAATATTTGGCCTTTTCTACCCATTTTGCCCTTCATGAATTAAAAGAAAACCTTTAGAGATAAGGGTACATGCATAGTTTGGCTTCCTAAATTTTCCTTAAGCCCCTCATACGCCTAAGGGACCGAACATTTCGGTCCCTTGTTTTGTTTCGGCCGAACGTGAGAGAGGGCGACGGGAGAGAGGAGGAGGCGGCGGAAGCTTCTTCCCGGACAGCGGCCGGCGAGATTCCGGCGAGGGATCTTTAGGAAAAGCGTAGAGAAAACCTTGAGGTAAGTTTTTCTTAAAAGAAATGAAAGATTTCTTGAGTTTTCATTGAAGCAAGATTTTAGGGTTTGGTTTTTCTTAGGGATTTCTTTAGAAAACCTTTAGGGTTTGCTTAGATTTATAGTTTTATGCTTTAAAGTTGATGATTTCGTAAAGGAAAGCATTAAATCCGAAATTAGGGTTTTTGTTTTATGCTTTATTTTTTTAGGGATTGTTAGAAGAATGTGATGAAAGGATTTTGGTATAAAAAATACAAAGTTTTCTTAAAGAATTTTGAGTTTAAAAATTAGGGAAAACTTAGGGTTTTCACAAACTTAAGGATTTTTGTATTGCATGTTCACTAAAGCCATTCTAAATGATTTAGAGAGGTATCTAAATAAAAGAAATTACAATTTTGAGAAGAAAAATAATTTTCTTAATTATTTTATGATTTAATTCCGAAAATAATAATGATTTATTGTTATGTACAAGAAAGGGGAATGTTTTAAAAGGACTTAGGATGAATTGAATGAATTTTTAGGTTCTTATAATTTATATTTTATTTAAATCCCAAATTTATTAATAAAAACATCAAAGTTTGGTAGGAGGTTTATGATGTTATACCTTAAGAATAGGTGTAGGAAGATTATAGGAAGCTTCTAAAAGAATTAGAAATTTTATTTTGGCAAGGTTTAAGTTAAATTATTTTCCTTTAGGTGGTGGCAAGAAGAAGAAGAGTAATTAAAGAGGAAAAGAGGAGGAATTCATAATTTTTTTGGAGGTAGGAATTCTTTTCCTTACATGTTCATTTGTTATTTCATGTTATATCATTTTATAAGTTAAAGCCTTTATGACATGCTTTATAGAAATGGAATATTTATGACATGTTTTATAGAAATGGAATATTTATCACATGTTTTATAGAAATAGAATAGAATATTTATTACACATGCAAAATACATCATTGTTGATGTACATTTCATATTTTAGTCTTATGAGCATGTTTAGGATTAGAAATATCTGCTGAGCATAGCTCATTCCCTAGTTTTGGGAAATTTTCAGGAGAACCTACGCTTAGGTGATGGCTGAACACCCGAGGTTCACCTACAGTAGACGCGCAACGGGTGGCAGGTTCTTACTGTTGTTTTTAGTTATCATTTTTGGGTGGTTTTATCATGAATGCATAGATTGAGTGTATAACACCTTGTATATGAACTTATTTTATGATGGTTTTTAAATGTTATATATGTTGGAAAAAGTTTAGAGGCGCTTTTATTATTCTTGAATATCTTTAGAATTACATGGAACTGATGATGAGTACTTAAATTACATGTCCGATCTCATTCCCGCCTCGTATTTACGAGCTAACCGGGCCGGGTCGTGACAGTTTTTGTCAAATGCGATTAGCAAGAAGAAATCAACCTCAAAGCCATCTTGGTAGAGAAAGGGAAGGAGATATGGATTCCATCTACCATCCACTTTGATACCTTGAACCCACCTTTAAGGATGATAAACAAAGTTGCTTTTAGGTGGGGGAAAGAGGACCTAGTTGGTCATTGATTTCATCATCAACTCTCTCCTACCCAAGAACAAGTTGAATCTGATTGCTTTCTTTTTGGACTTGGCAATCTTGTTTGACTACTTGCATAAGCATCTTCAAAAGCTATTGGCAAATGACTTGCACTTGTCATTGATGAGGGGGTTAGTATCAACTGGGCATACTTTATTTTTTATGGCAAATTTTCACCAAATTTACTCGTCAAAATCATTGATTTAGGTGCCAAGTTGGTGCGAATCTGCAAGAGAAAAGGAAACCAATTTGAAATGCAAAGATATTTGTATATTGAAAGCTTTAGATGTCAAACAAATATTGTAAGAATTTGCTAAAAAGGTTGATGCTGACTTGGGGAGTTAGAAAAAAATAGTAGAATATGCTACGAATTCAAAGATTTTGTGTGATAAGCAGAATACTGAACTTCATATGGCTAGATCAATACACTTGGGTTGTCTTTAGCCTAGTCTGAGATCTCGATGAAAGAACAAGCTTGCTCACAACTATTATCTCAAGGCCAAATAGCTGAGTTAGAGTCCTTGAAGATGTAGTAGGAAGAGTGGAAGACAAGGCTGAGAATGCTTCTCAAGCTTCCAAAGTCGCTATTATCAATGAGTTTAGCAATTATGATGAATATAAACAAGAGATAAACAAGAAGTATGAGGAGCGAATCGTCTTTTGCTTAATTGAATCATGGCATGATTAACCATCTGTGGCGAGATCTGAACTTATTCTATTTCAATGTGTGAATATTCTAATGACAAGGAGTTAGAGAGAAGGAGAGTGCACAGAAAGAGAGTAGTTGGGATTCCTCAAAAGATGATTCTTGAACACTTAGTGATTGTCTTTTTTTATTTTAGTCCCTTTGAGTGAATTGTAATTTATTCCTGACAAATGAGAATTTACTTTTTGAATTATCTATCTTTCTTGCATAATCCTACTAAATGATAAGATGCAAATAAATTTTCTAAGAAAATAAATAAGCTTTGTAGTTTTGTAATATAAGATATGTCGAATTAACGTGGCAAATTTATCATATTAATAGATCTGAAAGGTTAAATAGATTTTTTAAATAGATAGAATTGCAGAATTAATTAAATTTTTGAGTTGATTGAATTTCAGTGTGGATAATAAAAAGAATAAACCAATTATGAGATATCTTTGCTAATTCTTTTCTAGCATTTTTCTTAATGCATTTTTGGACTGATTGTCAACTTGGATGGGCCTCACCTTTCTAGAGCTTTTGTCTTTGTTGGGTGAAAGGACTTCACTCACTTCCATTGCGGATCTTTTAATAAAAGGGGAAGCCCCAATTCTAGGCCTTGACTTTTTTAGTTAGGATTTTAACGTGAAGGTTGACTTCCAATATTTTGAGGGAAATCAGGTATTCCATAACTAAGTAGGGAATAAACAAATTTCTGAGTGGTAGAGTAAATAAACTGCCTAATTTCCTTTTTAGCAGTTGATTGTTTCTTCACGGTAATACTGATTGATGCTTATTGACATCGTCCTTTCCTATGAAAATACCTAGTTTTGGAGTGGATGTCTCTAATTCTGCCTGAAGCTGTTGTGAAACGAGTTTGCATCATTACAAACATGGGTGCAGGTCTAATTCTTCTCTAATTCAATCTTTGCTAAGTTTAAATGTCAATATTTTCTGATGCACTTTGTCCATGTTTGAAATTCTTGGCTTGAAGTGGATCCAATTGGTGCACAGAAGGAAGTCCTGGATCTGGCTAGCAGCTTGGGAATCAGTATGACCGTCTCCATAGCATATGAAGTTTCTTCAACGGAATCCTCAGATAATTCTATAACCCTTTACCAAATGATTTCCCTTACCATTTTTTGTGAAGTGGATATGCCGTAGTTTAAAATTACTCTTTGGTTAAAACATGCTGTAAAACTTTTTTTGAGATTGATGAGCCTTCTATGAAAAGCTTTGGCTCATCATTCTGTGCTAAGATCAACCCTGAATGTCTAATGTTTTAGGATTTGCCTTCAAAATTTTCTTTTGCCTGCAAAATAATATATGAATGCCCCTCATTTTGCAGGTTTTCTGTTACCTTCTGATGAATACAATGCAATGGATAGGGTGATTCTCTTAGCCTTTGGTCATAGAAAAATCTCAGTTAATTTTTTATTGTGATATTGTCACCCTAATACTGCAAAACAGATGCCATAGCAGGTGTCCAATATTTTTCTTTTAAATAAATTGGTTGAATTGTGGATTCATATCCATCTACATTTTAATCACCTTTTCTGTTGGTCTATTTAGATGATTACACTTAATCTTTTCTGCTTCTTATATTCAATTCCAATGCCGAGTATCACAACTATTTTAGGTTGGATTCTTATTTTACTGTATGGCTCTCTGGGTGATGTAGGAGTTTGGGGAGTCCATTAAGTTAATTTCCAGCATTTGAAAACTTATTCAACGGAATTAATGGTTGAAGAACCAAATATTTCTTCGAAGAATATAACATTTTCTGGTTTTGAGTTAAACTTTGTAAGTCTGACGTAAGGAGCTGAAGGGATCATATAACTATGGTGGATAGACTCCAGTTTTCTAGGGTACTTATGCTCTTTTAAAGAAGAAAAAAACTCTTTCCAGGCATTCAGAAAAGACCTGTGAATGATTTATAAGAATTTGAAAATGGTTCAAGTTAATATGGTTATTTATCTGTCATTAGCTTAAGTTTATTGATTTGATTCTATATGCTTCGATATCCTGTAATATAACATCATATGTCACTAGAAGATTAAAAAAAAAAAAGTCACTAGAAGATTTTGTCTTTAGAACCATACAATGCCATGAAAAATGCTCATATTGCATCGCATACTAGTTGTCTTGACAATTCACATGGGAGGAAAACTTATCCTCTAAAGCTGCTGACAATTATATATTGTAATTTTTATCTTTTTCTTCAACAACTGTATCTCATCTCTATGACAATGTGACTGTGGGGTAACAAAACTAATATTTTGATGGACTTAATATCTTGATTTTTGAGAAGGGAGAAATCTGATGCAGAAAGAACTGGGTAGGTAAAAAGAAAGGAAAGATTGAGAAGAAGAGTTGATGAATGTTTCAAGTGAAGGAGGCAAGAGGTAGAGAGAAATAAGAAGAAGGCCTTACGACTAAAAGGGAGGAGAATTAATCCCTAGAGAGGGTCCCAAAGAAATGCCACATTTTTGAGTCCATCATTAAATATTTAAATTATATGATCCCGTCATTTATATTAGTACGCATTGTTCAAAATGAAAAAAATTATCCTTGAATAGATAAAATGAAAAAAAATTCAAATGTCTTATATGATAAATGACATTTTAACTAATTTTCAACATAATGATAAGGAGGATGACTTAATGCATTAATCAATATTGAAAAGCACACACTTATGACCGATTTTCATAAATGACACACTACATCAATTTTTATCGGTTGTGAAGAAATCCATTATAGAGAGTTTGAATTTATTGGGAAAATTGAATCCCCTCAATTATGCTGTAAAACTCTGAAATCCATCCTGAAGATGAAAGTGACTATCTTGAAGAAGAGGTGATGATCCAAGAAAAGTTGACTGATAGGAAGAATAGCATCATTGTAAGAGGGATCTCGTAGATTCTCAAGAATACAATCACAAGTAGTCTTTATGTGCACTACTAGACAGAGCCAATCTAATTGAAGTATTGGATGACTTAAGTCGATTTTTTTGTTTGTTGGCTTGGGCACATTGTTGGGCTAGATTGACCCAAATGGATTGAGTTTGGTCAATCAGTTTGTTTGGGCTTGATTGGGCAAGGTTGTTGGAGAAAGACATTGAGAAAAAAAATAAAAGGACATTAAGATGAAATTTTGAATTCAAATTTCAATTTGACATTCAAACAAATGATAAGTTTGGAGACTTTTTATGGAAAATATTGGAGGAATCTGTTGAGGGAATTATGCAGGATAGTGTAGATGGAAATATGGAGGATATGATACAATGATTGCTTAAAAGGGGAAGAAAAGGTAGGATTTTCGCAACAAATTCCAAAATTCTATTTGAATTTCAAATTTAAATCAAAACAAAAAATTGAAAAGTTGAAAATTTTAAATCTTTTATCATTTCAAATTCAATTTTTTTTATTTTATAAATGTAATTATTTTGAAATTTGTTTTATTTATTTTTTCTTTTTTTAATTGAGTTTGTTGCTACTGACCAGGCGTACTGGTGGAAGGTGATGGATGATGCCCGTTTGAATGCGACAATAATAAAAATAATTTAAAAATTGTAAATCTGCTACAACAAGAAAAAATGAATGTAGAATTTCAACTCTATCTCTCTATCTCTCTCTATCCCACTCTATTTCTCTACCTCACTTTCTCTCTCTCTCACTTCCTATCTGCTTTCACATACTATTTCTCTATCTAAACATATATATTGGGCATCATATTATATTTCGGGCAAATTTTTTTTATCACAAATTCACAAGATGCTTTAATGCTTGCTAGAAGTTGCGAAAATCATTTTTTACTAATCTAACAATAAGGATATAGGGGAGCGCTCAAATGATCGCAACCTATCGTTAATTGTATTTCCATCTTCTTGAGATTTGGCGTGCAAAAAAAATTTTGAACCAACTTTGAATCCTTCCCAAATAGCCTTCAAGCCCAAATATGATGATTAGTATTGCAGTAGCATGCATGATTAATGATCCAGATCCTCCAGATGTACTAGCTTCTCATGATTATCCTGTTGGTAGGGATATTGGTGATCCAAATTTGGAATTTGATCACTCTGATGATAGTATTTTCAGTTTAGAAGATCAAGTGGTTAAATGATTTAATTTTTTTTCCATGAGGGGTAGGAATAACAGGAAGATCTATCATCACTCTTTTATGTTTATTCGGCCTCAAGCAAGACACCTTAAATGAAAACTCTTGAGGTTCTCCTCTTCTATTAGATGGTCCTTGCTTAGTTGTTATCTAGTTATCTACTTATCTTTGATGTATGGTCTCTTGCTTGGTTGTTCTCTAGTTATCTTGGATGATGCACATTTATGTTTTCTTTTTTCCCCTAGCAATGCATGCAATAACTTGACTTTGTACTCATTTGATTGATTGATTATAATTTTTTTTCTTGTTAAAAAATACTGGATTTGCGAACCTAATTTTGGCCTAGTGGTTGATACTTGAGCTCCGAACGATTGGTTTATGGCTTCTATTCATACTGCCATATTGATCGCTTCTTGAAAAAAAGGCGTCTATTTTCATTTGACTCTTATATCAAGGGTTTGTCCCTTTCGGCGAGTCTTCTTCAAATTTATGATTAGTTTTGTGTTAACTTTAAAAAATGTACGGAAACCAGAACTCAGATCATAAAGTCCTCACAAAATGAGGGCGAAATCTCTGGGTAGTGTCTTATCTACAAACCCATCTGCCTTCCAAAATTTACCCCGGAACTTAGTTCGTTAAAACTCCCTCGCCGAATAAGAAATAGCGAGCGGATGCCGGGGTCGAATTTTCGGAGCCCACAAGGATGAATTTCAATCCTTAAAAAAATATGATTAGTTTTTTGGGAAGGTTGTAGATAAAATTTTTAGGAATTCTAGAGCTGCTATGATCTCTTGATAACTTAAAATTAAAACAGTCATTCGTAATTTTATGGCAAACTCCTTGTATTTAGTAACCCAGTTTAATACCAATTGGTGACAAGTTTGGCTGCGGTGGTGAAGATTGGGGTGAACTTGGATATCTTGATTGCTGAGAAAATAAGAATTTTGATGTAGGGGAAGAATCAAGAAGGTAAAGAGAAAGAATAGAATGAGAAAATAAATAAATGAATATCTCAATAAGAGGGAGGCAAAGGTAGAGTGAAAATGGAGATCCTTACGATTAGAGGCAGGAGTGAGGAATTGATCCTATGAATCGATGCCAAAGAATGAACATAACCATCGTAACTTTATTTCATCATCATCATTCGAATTAGATGGCCATATCCACTAATTATAATAAAATATCATATTCAAATTGAGAAAGTAAAAAAGCTAACGAGTTAGTCCTATGCAACAAAGAGCACTTTAACCACATATAATTAACTTAAAACAAATAATGACATTGGCATGATACATCAAAGAATACTGAAAGCACAGATTCACTGCTACCGGCTGATGTTGGTGACTCGCTCCGCATCACAATGTCCTTGTCTGCTTCAGCTGGTTTTATCATGTAGGATTATACATAAACGGATTTATCAAATATTTTTTTATTTTTTTTCCGATAAGTGATTTAGCACTTGTTAACATCTCAATCATCTAGGTATCAAATATGATCTCATGCTGATTCACTTATTGCATCTCCATCACTTACAAATGACTTATTCTCCTAGATTGGAACAAGTTTCACTTTCACTTGTTTTTCAATAATCCTAAAGTTTTGTGCCTTACTATGGGTCCTCTCTCTTACATAAAAACTTAAAGTAGGTAGTGTATGGGTCTTCAAGAATTATTGTTGCTTTTCCACCTTGGATCCTCACTTTCTTTTGCCGGAAAATTTATGGCTTTTGTTTTTCAGAAGGATAATTTTTGCTCTTTTTGTATATCACTTGTATTAATCTCTATTTACACATTTTAATTCTTAAGATGCTAGCTAATTATTTCATTTTTAATAAGGAATTTCAAAGTGACATTGTTTTTTGAATCTTTGAAGGGTATGAGTACATATCTAGGAGCAGCTCCCATTGTTCAATGCCTAGAGAGATACGAGCCAGATCTTATAATTACTTCAAGAGTTGCTGATGCCGCACTGTTCTTGGCTCCGATGGTATGATAAATGAGGCATTTGCTTCAATTTAATTTGGCTATTTTTCAATTAATTAATTGAAACATTCGTCTTGTAGTTTTGCATATCATTTCTATGGGGGTAAAAGGACATCATTCATGGAATAAAAACTTGACTTTAAAATATGACAAATCTTAACCAAACACAAAGAAAGGTCAAGCACACAGAATAAAATTGTGTTTTAGTTTGGATAAAGCCCATTATTGGTTTTTTTATGTGTCTTGCGATCCATTCGAGCTAATACGACGAGGACAGTGGCTAACTAATGTGATGTTGTTCATCAGGTTAAAATATCTTTGTGATCAAAATCAGTAAAACATTGCTGGTTCGCAAAATGGACTATGTTCATGTGTTTGGAGCATCAAAATCACCGATGAAGCACCTCCCATGCTCAATATGATTGGACGTGATGAAAACATCTAACGGACATGACGCTATGCAAATGTCACTAAAATGTTGCCTTTTTACAAAACAAATTGCACCGACGCACCTGTAATGTCAAAACACTCATATTGCTTTAGTTGTTGCATGAAGATGAAACATAAAATTCATGCATGCACGAAGTGACTGCACGAAATTTAAGACGCATGAGCAATTTTTTATGCATGAGTTAAATACACATTTTAATCTTATTTTTTAAAAGAAGGGGTCAAATTTTGTGGAATTCCTCAGCTATCTTTGATGAAATCCTTGATGTCATGACCTGCTCTGGAGGCTTGAATTAATGAGGCTGGAACTGGCTGTCAAACGATTTATTTAAAGTTTTCATTCATTAAAATTTCTAACAACAAATTATTTCCAATACACTGAAAGAGCAACTATGAACTCCAAATGTATTTAAAAAAGTACTATAATGGTTTCAAACAAGTACCTCGGATCATGGTACTATCGAGGCAGAACCCTAGTTGTTGTCGCATCTGGATCCTATGCAATACTATTCAGATTCTGTGCAATGCAGGTTATATCAACCAAGAAATAATATTGCTTTAATTTTAACACAATGTATTTGTAATTTTACTGAGAATTTAATCAAATGAAATGCTGTGTATGACATATGGAATATTTTACCAGTCAAAGATCCTGTATGGAACTTACTTTTAAAGAGCTGGTGCTAAAATTACCTGCCGATTTGTTATAGGCCATTTACTTGAAATCTTGTTAAATGTGGATTTATCTATGTACACCAAATGATAAGAATTGGCTCCAAACGGAAATGGCACGACTGGGGATCCTCCCTAGCAAAGTCAAGTGTGGAAAGACCGCCTATACTCCTCTTCAGTTTCTGCATATGCTTCTATAACTTATTAAAATCTCTGAAACTTATTAATTTTTTTTCTTATAACATCTTTTTCTAGTGCTAAAAATTTTTGAGGGAGCTGTTATCTTCAATGGAGAATCCATCTGAGCTTTATTGGAGCTGCAAATCTTTGGTTTTATCATAGATTAAATTTACCCTACAACAAAAGTATGATATATGTTCTGCTATATATTATGCAACCGGAATTAGATCTGAACATTCTGTTCTTATTATATAGGAAGCATGCTCAAGGTGTTTTCTTCGCTTTCAAATTTGGACATATTTACGTCATTGTTAGGTGTACGAACTAGGTTGGGATTGGAATGACTTCAATCAATTAGCCCAAGGGACCCTAGCTGGCCATCTCCTAGAGTGTGGCTGTCAGCTTACAGGAGGATATTTTATTCATCCAGGTATTATATTATGCCTGATTGCTAAAGATATTATATTATTGACTGCTACTATTATGGTTCATTTTGCAGTTTTACGGAACGCTATATAATACTCACTTTTGGCAGGAGACATTCACCGAGAAATTTCTTTTGAGCAACTTTTAGATTTATCTCTTCCATTTGCTGAAATTGGTTATGGCGGAGAAGTATATGTTGCAAAAGCTGATGGCAGTGGAGGTGTTCTGAATCTTAGTACTTGTGCTGAGCAGCTACTTTATGAGGTTTGGGATCCAAGTTCATACATTACTCCTGATGTGGTGAGTGAGATCAAAAGCTTTCAACCATTAAGTGTTTACTCTCAGAGCCATATGTCAACTGTAAATATAAACTTTACAGGTTATTGATTTGCGGGATGTTTATTTCTGCTCCTTGTCAGATGATCGAGTTTGTTGTGATGGAACTAAACCATCTACTATTCGATACCCTGAAAAACTTCTGCGACTGACTCCATCAGTAAGTTGCTCCTAAAATCATGAATTTTTTACCTTTTTGGTATCTTAGCTTTAGCATGAGAGTTACTTCCGTTGAAAGTATTCTGAAAGGCTGCAGGAATGGAAAAGACAATTATTTTTTCCTTTTATTTTTATTTCTAAAGTTACTTTATTCAACATTTAGTCTACTCTACTTACAAATAAAATTGTGCATGGATGTCTTGCCTTTCATTCCAATATATGACTCGTATTTATGCTGTCACGCCCAATTTCGACCCTTCTCAAGTCAACAATAAGGCGTAATAGAGGTGGACAATCTAGATGGATGCATTTCCTATCAATAACCATCCTGACTTTACTAATCAGGATCGAGTGAGTAAAAATTAGTTTGATTAAATTCTCACAAAATATATCTCATCTTTTAATAGATTTATCATACTAAATGATATGGAAGTATGCATAATTTAAATCTTTAAAATAGACTTCGGAGTTTCTAATATTTTTAAGAAAAATTTATATATATCAAAGATCTTTATATATATATATATATTACGTTTCAAATATGCTCATCGATCCATAATATTTGGGTACAGGATAAGTTGGGTCACTTGTCTATGATCCCTCAATTCTTTTTGCTTTTTGAAAGTAATTTTAGTAAGATTTGATGAGCTAAATGGTCAATGAGATGAATAGTTCTAATATGACATTCAATAATATTAGTAATATGCATCCTAATTCCTTGAACTAACGTGAGCTCTTCTGATTATGGATATAGCTAGTTTAGTGCAACAATAAATTTAAAGAAAACTTGCTTTGATATTTAAATAAATAAAATACATAATTTTAATCAAGGAGCAAGAGTATCGATAAAATCATGAAGTGCATTTATCAAAGGTTCAATCATGAGGTGCACACTACTGATCAATTATTGGTATGAAGTTCCTTGTTACTTTCATTTTTCATTTTCATTATTAATCACTAATTTTCTTGAAATGTTATGTAATTCTTATATTGTAAACACCGGTTCATCTGGCCGGTTCAGTTGAACCGGCCGTTCCCTCTATTAAAAATCGCGAGCAAGCATTCACAAAACGGAGCAGGCATTCTTGAAACCGAAGGGGCGGATGGGGGATTTCGTGTGAGAGTGTGATGTGAGTTTCGTTTTTCCAATTTTAGCAAACAGTTGCCTTCAAGGATAAGAATTAACGATTCCTTTTCATTTCTACCACTAAAGAAGTGATAAATTTGGAAGAAATTTCAACGAACGAGAGGAACGACCGAGGGAAAGAGGGAAAGAGGGAAGAAGGTTGTTGATTTTTCTTTCCAATTTTGTATAAAAAATTTTGTCGCTTTATTTCATCTAAAGCAAATGATATTTTATTAAAGGAAGAGAAAGTGATTTTGATGCAGGACTAGGTACGAATGCAATGTTTTTGTAAGGATTTGCACAACTCTTTGATTAGAGCAACAGTGAAGACAACTAGTAGCAATTACAAAACAACGAAATAAAACGAGAAAGGGGTTATGCCCGCTTAGGCTAAATCACATAACCAGGGATTTGGAAACTTTCAAAAGAAATTAGTAAACAACGTTATGCCGTAATAGTAGTTTCAATACAATCCCTAATCTAACAATGAAAATTAATAAGCATAAAGGCACACGCAAAACCCTACGTTTACTAGGCTTAGCAGAAGCAGGGAGGATCGTCCTTCGTGACTACAATCAAGCACAAGATATGGTTAGACTTAGGAAATATATTGAAAGGGGAAAAGAGAACCTTCATCACGGAGCGGTGGAGATCCTCCACTCAACGCCATCAAAATGCTTGTCGATTGCTTTCACTAAAGTGTCCATAATATGCTCGAGATAGTCTTCGACGGTGTGGTCAATTCTCTTATTAACGTCAAAGAAAGTTGACTGAAGAATATCCGTGAAACCATCCTCGTCGAAGGTTAAACCGTATTTAGTCTCTGGATCCTCCATTCATAGGTGCTAGGTGACAAATCTCCTTTCCAAAATCTGAGAACAATTTCAGATTTTGTTCTAAAACCTGAGGGAAATTTCAAATTTCTCTCTTGAGAAAATAGAGGTAGTGGAGGGAAAATATAGGCTTAGGACTCAAATGGGGAGTTAATGAGGGAGAGGGAATTTGAGAGAGAGGAAATCCAAGGTGGGGGCCTTGGGAAAATTCGGCCAGCAGCAGGAGGAAGGATTTCAAATTCTTCCCAAAGAGAGGCAATGCATCATGGAAAGACTTTAGGAAAAATCCAGTAAGGGGCCAGCGGTATGTGGAGATGGGGAGGATTAGAGATTTATTTCCTAATCCTAATGTCAGGTTTTAGGAAAGCAATTAAATACTTGGACTTTGAAAAATTCGGCTATCATGAGATTGGAAATCTTTCTAAAGAAAAAGAGAGTGGGATTTAGGAAAAGTTTCCTAATCCAAGCCAAAAGGGGGAGGGGGCCGGCGGCAGTATTGGGGAAAAGGATTTGAGCAATTAATTATTGCTTGCTAGTTTGGGATACATAAATTAGGAAAGACAATTTTAAATCCCAATCAATTATAAATTGATTTGATTGAATTTTAAAGACTTTCCTAAAATAGATTTGGTATATTAGGAAATATTTTGAATTTCAAATCACTTGGATTTGAATTCAAAGTTAATTCCAAATATGTTCAATTCATAATAGGAAATAAAGGAAGAAAAGGAGGGAGGGGAAATCCAAGTGAGGCCGTTGGCTAGGATTAGGTGTCCGCCGGTTTTGGAAGAGGGGAAGTGGGGTTGGTTGGGTGGGGTTTGGCCGTGGAGCTGAATGGGGTGGTCAGGAGGGGTGAATATGGCTTGGGTGAGAGGAAAAGTCGGCGGCTAGGTGAAGGGGAAGGAAAGGAGAAGAAGATAGATGATAGAACCACGAACCCGACTTATTTAGGTTGGTGGGTATTGCACAAATCTCCCTCTCCTAGGAATTTCTCTCCAATCTCCCAAGCTTTCTCAAGAACTCTAAGCAAGAAAACAAAGTTCATAAATAATCATTTATTCTCTTAAAAAATAAAACATGAGGCTATAAATAGCCAAGTACACGGGACTCATGAAAATAAAAGACAAAATTGCTCTCCGGGCTTACATACGACATCTCCCACTAAAACGGTACAACTGGAAAACAAATACACGACACTAAAAATAGAAAAATACATAAATAAGAAAATAACATAAATAACTCAAAAGTACAAAGACTCGATCGTGGCCGTAGAACGGCGGCCACGCCTCTGATAAACCTTCCACAAACTGATGTCCCCATCAGATTTGGAAGTAAGGGGAAGAGATTTCGAGAGGGAAAGAGAAAAGTTTTGGGATTTGGGAAAATCCCCTTGTTGTAAGTAAAATTCCTATCATATAATAATTTTACTTAGATTTAGTTTTAATTTTTTTTTGAAAAATTTATATTGTTTAATTTTTGGAATTTAGAAGGAAAGAAATCAAGTTGTAGGAGTTGAGTTCTTTAAGAATTCAACAAGAAAGGAAATTGAGGCTGAGGTAAGAATTCATTTGATAGATGTTATAAATTTTTTTTAAAAGTTAACAATATGTAAAATTTCTTTATTGTGTATCTTTTTAGGTTGAGATAATGATCGAAGATTTGAAAGATCAAAGTGGGTAAATTATATACTTTCATGATTTATTTTATGCATACAATATTTTAAATATTTGATTATTTGCATAAATTACAACTGTTGAGGCTATATATATCTCATGATTTTAAAGTCTTATGATAAATTTTATATGTTATAAACGTTTGAAAGTTTTATTAAAGTGAAAGATATTAATTATGGTATATAAGATATGAAATATGTAAATGTATAAATAATGATTTAATGGAAAGTGAAAAATGGAAAACAAATGAATGACAAAAGTTATATATATGTATAGAAATAAAACATATATAAATATAACAAGAAAAATGTATTGCAAATTACAAGAGTTCACCCCGTATGGTATTAACTGGAGAAACAACGTATCCGTGCACATTAAAAAAGAAAAAGAAAAGTAAATGAAAATGAAAATGGTTATACCTCAATTGGTACATTTAGATGGTGCTATTCTATAAATGGAAATAGGGAAATAAATATTCTAAAGAATTGAATGTCAAATCTATTTAAAGAAATGTTAAAAAAGAAATGGATGGTTATGATTAAATACTAAGAAAAGATTTTATGTGGTATTATAAGGTTTATAATGCATAAAAAAATGTATGTGTATCGATTTGATATTAAGAGAGAAAGTTGTATGTATTATATTGATATATTTATTTTTACTGTTTTATAATTGTCAATGATTATCCACTGAGTTTAAACTGTAAACTCAACTCATCCTATTAATCTTTCTGGTAAGTCTCCAAAGAATTTGAAAATGGCTGAAAGAGAATAGTACGTCTATAGAAGACAGCGTGCAACTGAAAACTGATAATATATGATTTATATAATTGTTAAGTATTCAAGGAAATTATGAAATAGTGGCTCTTCTGTTAATGAGGAAATTGTATGTTGTATTGTTTATGAATTGTGCTAAATTCATCATACAGTCTGACTTTTAGTTTCCGCCTCATTAAATCGAACATCCGGGCAAGGTCGTGACATATATAGATCTTGACACCTTTATATTATTAGATCGTTACCCAATATGTTAGCGATAATAAATATTGATAGAATTTAGCATTGAATTTATTCATGGCCCCTCAATATAGGATGAACCATTTAGACTTTCCAGTATTAAGAGTCAGAATCAAATGCTTCTCGAAACTAGGCTCATCTTGTCAGAACTTTTGCCTCTTCTTATGCAAGTTATTATAGTTTGCTTAGCTATCTCATATGATAGGACCTTCCATTTGCTTATTTTAATCTAATATTATTATCATTGATATTATAAATTACTTAGAATTGATATATTTACCTATTATTATTTAATTTGGTTAACATTCACCAAAAGCAAATATGATACATGAAAGTTAATATCTATGCACTTA